GAGAGAGAGAGAGAGAGAGAGAGAGAGAGAGAGAGAGAGAGAGAGAGAGAGAGAGAGAGAGAGAGAGAGAGAGAGAGAAAGGGAAGAGAAAGGGAAGAGAGAGAAAGTAAAATCTAGAGAATGTGGGAAAACGCAAAAGAAAGGGTTTTAGTACTAATTAGATTGGGAAGGGGGGAAAGAGTGAGGTTAGAAACTCGAAAAGATGGTGGGCGGGAAATTTTTAGCCTTATTTTCGTGATTGAAGTTTCACAAAATTTGCAGTTTTACACAAAACATCAAAGTTTTATTTTATAATTTTTTCCATTTATCTTGGTTTTACTCTATTATAATGACTAATTTTATGGTTATACCAGTTATGTTCTGTATATTAGATTCATTTTTTATTTGTCCATGTATACATAAACTCGATTTCATTATATGATAAGATTTCAAATGAGACAAGGTGAATATTAACGAAAAACATATAAGAATATAATGTAATGACATCATGATTACTAATATCTAACGAGATTTTTTTTTTGTTCTGATAAAATCATAATCAACACAACCCAAAATAACTCATAAAATACCATCTTATTAATACTTTCGTAACGAGTTTCAAATTTACAATTCTATTACTCAGTCTACCTATCGTACTTATACCAGTAAAGGATAAAGTTTCACTTAGTTGCACAACACAAAATACAAATCTCACATTTCAACGTCTCCTCTTCTGTTTCTTGTGGGGATGTTCATTGTGTTCCTTATGTTCCAAACCAGTACCCACATTATCTTCTTCTCCATATCCACTCTCACGCTCACCATAGTTCCTACTACATGAGCTTTCATTCTCAACTTTCGATAGTTGCTCGGTTATTTGAGCTATTTCCAATTCTTGGGTGTCCTCTACATGCAAAATACTTCTTCTTTGTTGTTGATCCACCGATGTTAGATAAACAAACACATCTTCATTATTCAAAATATATGATTGTCTCTTAGGTTCCACTACCAGTGAAATGTAACCAAATTTTAGCCTCTTCGTAAACGGATCTATTCCTATCTTCCTGCATATTCTCTCCTTCAACAACAAATAGGTGATCTCTTCCAATGATGATGTCCTAAAGGATATACCATACAAAGGACCATCGGTTTGAATACATTCATAATTATCTCCAGACTTGTAATAATGTCCATCATAATCAAAGTGTATGTTTGTAGAAGAAAGACTCATCTGCAATTAAAAAAAAAATTAACCACTAAGTTATACGTGATTTAATCCTGGTTATACAGTTATAGTATGTTAGTTGTACGAAGTTATACCTTGTTACACAGTTTTTTCAGTAACCAACTTTTTCCAACTTTTCCCAACTTTTCCCAACTTTTCTAGTTCTAGCTATTTGTCCTCTTCAATTCATTTCAATAGTTATCAGCTTAGATTCCCGACGTTCTATCTTTTTTTTCTTATGATTACAGTTATTAATTATCCAATTCCATAATACACAGACCATTCACACATTCTGATCCTCAATTACTCTAGTCCAATTAGAATTGTAATTTGGAATCTCTGTAAATCGATCGTGTATGGTGGATTCTAAACATTGGGTTACAACGAGTTATGAACTTAAGATACATACCCTGTCAATGAATCAATAGCTTAATGATTCAACATCCAAGCGGACGAATTCAACCGACATAAGCGATGATAACGACAAAGAAGAAGAAAGAAACGAATTCCGCGGATGAGAGAGAAAAAAACAGATCACTCCCGATTTGGAAATAAAAATAATTCAGAGGATTCTTCAATTTTGACCGATTTTGATTGGTCATTAATTTGGTTAAGTAGGGAGGGGAACTTTCGACATTAACCACCCATATGGAGAGTATGAGAATAGAGAGGAATATGTGAGAATGAATAGGAGTATATAAGAATGAATTTTGCTTCATTAAAAGCATTTCAACATTTCACCCGAAGAGATGAGATCAAACTAAAGAGAAACAATGCAAGGGGAACCGCCATCGAACATGCAAGATCCACTATCACCAACTGCCTAGTCAGCCGTCGGTACAAGCATCCTCTCCCGATGACTGACAACCAACTCATGGTGCCTCTCCGTCATCCTCTAACAGAGAGAGCAACTGTTTGTTGATGAGCAAGAGCCATCATAGGGAAACCATGCGTCAGAGAACCCATCCGATTTGAGGAGAGAGTAAGAGAAGAACTCCCAAAAACGCTGCTGATGCATGTTCTGTCACCTTGAACTAAGACCGAGAAGGGGGAACCCACTACAGACACCAAAAAGGTCACCGAAGACTGTAGGACACCTTCCTCACGAATCAGAAGGATTAAGGTTTTGTGAGAAAAGTTTGAAGACGTGTTAGCTGCACGCTCATTGGTCATTTCGTGTTGGAATTAAGACCGGGCCTGACTTTTTTTTTTAATTTAGAAGCAGTGAAATATTTTTGTTTTCTTAGCGATGATATAAAGTTGCCTCGAACATGTTTCCTTGACCAATGATACAACATACTAAATAACTGAATCAACAATGATTCTTGCCAAATTGACCCCTCAATTGTTCATAAATATATTGATCCTAAGTCTATGCTTGACCTTCATGTGGTCAAGCCCGACCCTGGATAAAACCTACCACTTGTAGAATTGCCAAGAAAATGTAAGCTCATGAACTTGGAGCTTGAACAGTTGCTGCAGTGGTAGAGTTTTGGTCCGTGTATTTCTAATAAAAGAGATAAGAATTTTTTGGAATTACTGTGTGCATTGTATTTTTCGATGTATCTCAATTCTTCAATTGGTATCAGAGCGGGACACCTAAACGAAGAAGAGTTCTTTGAACCAAGGTGAGATCTTGAGAAGAGAATATGGCGATTTTGGCACATAATATGTTGCTGCTGAATGATGTGAATTATGGGTATTGGAAAGTAAGAATGAGAGCATACTTACGTGGAACTGATGAAGATATCTGGACAGTTGTTCAATCTGGATGGGAAGAACCATATGTGATGCTAGAAGATGGTTTGAAGACACCTAAACCAAAGACAAAGTGGACTGCAACAGAGAAAAAGCTTTCAAAGTTTAATGCAAAATCATTGGATACAATCTTTAGCTCTGTAGATGGTAAGCAATTTGAGCTAATACAAGGATGTGAATCAGCTAAAGAGGCTTGGGATATACTACAAAACGCCTTTGAGGGTACTGAAAATGTCAGGAGAATAAGACTAGACTTGCTTGCATCACAGTTTGAAAACACTCTCAACTTTGTGGCTCTTCATGGAGTTGTAGGGTCTGAAAAAACACATCACTAAAGGTGAAACTCGTGCGTCGTCTGTGTCACACACCAATTTTGATGCGTCACACAGTGATACAGAAAGTGATTTAAATGCAGATCTTTTTGCTGAGTATCAGGTTCTCTTTGGTCAATTTGCTAAACTCAGTGAAGAAAATATGCAGCTGATCAAAGATAAAGCAAGGCTGGAAGCACAATGGAACATTCTAGATTCCAAAAACAACAATAAAGCAGAGATTGGGATGTCAAAAGAAGAGAAGGAGTATGATCTACAGAGTCTACATAAGACAATCTCTAAGCAGGCTTACAATCTAAAGAGCTTGGAGACCAAATATGAGCAGACGAAACAGCTAATGAATGAGGAACTCGTAAAAAGTCAGCTGTTGCAAAGAGAACTCAGTGAAAATTACAAAAAGTTAAGGATGCTGAATAAAGGATCTGAAACCTTAGATCATATTTTATCAGTTGGACAATCTCCAAAGGTGAACTGGGGTTTAGGTTACAAGGGTGCTGCTCCAAAAAATCAAGCTAGTCCAGTTAATGTTCTCAACTTTGAAAAAGGTACTACCTCTCACCCTGAAAGTAGCTCAAAAGTTGAGAAAACACATACATCTGCACCTGTGGAAAAGGAACATAAGGCCCAGACAAATGTTCACCCTCCCAAACCTGCAATAACTCGGAGAAAT